GATTGACCCAGGAGCACTCTATTTCCCACAGACTCTGCTTGAACATGCAATGTACTTCCAGGTGCTGGGTGACAGCGTACAGTTCAACCAAGGATCACTCTGTTAGCTGTGCTACAGGCTCATAATCCCAGTGGGTCAAAATGTTTAGAGTTAAAGAGGTTACAGGCTTTTCCAAGGGAGTATTTAAACTCCATCTGTCAAACCACTTGCACAGAAGAAATTTATAGACTCTGCCAGCAGTACATTAAATTGCTGTTTTCTTGTCTTTAATTTAGTAGCATGCATTGTTTTCACATTGCCCTAAGAGAATAATTAATCTGTGGCAAATTTATGCCTATAAAAATTATAAATACTAGATTTAAAAAAACCAACAGTAAAGAAATTCAAGGAGCCACACGTTGATGAGAGGCACATCAAGAAGGCTCTTGGCAAAGCTGTCGGAATGCCTTTGGGGCCTGACCTTTTCAGAAAGCTGTCTAAGGGACCTGAAACCTGCTTCATATTCAGTTTAACTCTGCACAGAAAAATCACTTGCAGCCTTTGCACATTAAAAGGAGAAAAAAAAAATAGGCAGAGCTTTTTCTCAGGGTCTAAACAACAAGTTTGAAAATGAGGAAGTTTGGTATTGCAGTTTTCCAGGAAACCTCAATGTTGGTCCCTGACGATATTGTTCTGTACTTCACTATATAATACAGATGCAAGTCTGATAAATTAAGGGCTTCACAGATTGTTTTCTTTCCATTTACAGGAGAAAAGGCAGTGCAGGAACACAAATGACATCTGCTGCGGTACTGAGACCACTTAGTTTCTCTAGTTGCTTTGAAGGAGGTGAACCTACTGCCAATGTTTGACAAGGGAGTGGTATAAGTAAGGCTGTGGTTAAAGCAATGTCAGGTCTAGGACACGATAAGCATTGCTCAAATGGCTGTCATTGAAATACCCAAGCTGAGACGGCTTTTCTGCTCCCTACCTTTTTGATAAAGCAAATACTTCCATTGACTGAATGTCGGTCTATTACAAAGAAACCGAGAATGAAGACAGCGCCGGGGGAGGGTGGGTGGATAATCCTTACCCAAGCAAGTTCTTCTGTGAACAAAGGAGTGCTGAAGCCCAGGTTCCTGAAGGCTCAACTCTCTGACCTTGACATTCCCCACTGTAATAATGCCCAGGCCACTCTCATCTGCAAAATACTTCACATCCACTAAAATATTTAAGATGCCATTTCCAACCCTTTCTCCCTCCTCCCGCTACTCCCTAGACACCTCCCATACCTCCACCTGGCCCCCAGTGCAACAGCCTCACCTTCCCCCTATACCCACAAGCCTGTTCTGGTGTGACAGCATGGCAGGAGGCAGCAAAAGCTTGGATGGATTATATGTGTGCCAAGTGACTGCTGCCTAACGGGATGAACAGCAGCCATGTTTCCCAGTGCTAAAAGGTCTGTCCCCTGCCCCTGTGGTGACTGCTGCCCTTTAGCAAAAGGGGATGAAATTGGGCAGTGGACTGAAAGGTGACTGGGGACAGTTTGTGCACAGGTAAGTCTCACTTAGAACATTCAATGCAAGCAAAACAGCTTAAAAAAAAATGAAGGCAACTTTCATTACAAGCAATTTTCTCAAGCAGATAATTGGAAACACTGGGGAGAAAAAAATGTGAGATGGCTAGTTTGGGGATTTTCATTTTTTGATGCTGGAAGAGGAACAACAGTCAGGCTTTCAATATGAAGGACCATAATAGTACTAACCTTGGTACTTACATTCTTGGTTTTCTTTAACGGCTAAATAAATTAGACATGCTCCTAGGACCATCACCAATCATATAAAAGGAAAATGTTTATTGGGGTGATAAACAGCCAACCCTGATGTCTCCCATCAGGTAGAACTGGCCAAAAGAGAAAAGTCACAGAGCCACAGAACTGTTGAGATTGTAAAGGACCTCTGGAAGCACTCCGAAATGCCTAAATATTACAACTAAAACTGAACGCAACATAAATACTTGGCTGAATCAGGCTCGAGACTGTTGCTTGCCAAATGCACAGCGGTGTGCACAATGCTGTTTGCTGTTTATTTGGGTAGCGAGATTGGTGCCAATGTGGTTATTGCAGAAGGAGCGAGAAAGGTAAAAGTATCATCCTGGTTTAACACTAAGTGCAAGATGAGCAGCACACTGTTCAGCTCTGGTATGTACATTGCAGGGACTAGCAAATGCAACAAGACAAAAGCCAGAGAAGTCTCTGAAACCTATTTGTGGGGAGCTCCACCACCTCTTCATTACCAGCAGTTTCCCAACTAAGTCTTTGTCTGCCTGCCTGCCTCTGTAACCCCCTTCTCACCCACACACATTCCTTTCCAGCAATGCTGCTTTATTTGGCTTATCATTATCTTTTTGTTAAACCCACTTAATTGGTGCATTTAACTCTTCATGTTCCTCAGTAGTCCCTCTGATAGCACTTGTTTACTGAAAAAGCAGTCATAGCCTTAAGTATTACATTTCAAAACAGCATCTAAATTGAGAAAGGTTTCGACAGTCCCAGTGTTCAACCATGCTAGCTCCATTAACTCATATACACTTCATAAAACACTAAGCATGATAAGGCAAGCTGGACTTTATGAGCTGCGAAACTGTCAAAGTCAAAGTCTGCACACAACCAGGGTATTTCCAGAAATCCAAAGTCTACTTTTTCGTAAGCTCCTTTAAGACAACAAAGCTGCATCCTCCTGCAAAGAACTATAAAGCTTTTACTGCATCTACTACAGATCAGAGGAGATCCTCTTTGCTGCTCAAAGCATGATTAGTTTAGTTCACCACGTATGCTATACCTGGTCTAAGTTTCCATAGCCAGATCTATCAGGAATCTAAAGAAGAAAATCCCAAGTGGGAGAGGTGCCAGCAAAACCCCTAATGTTGGTATAATTATGTCAGGAAGAAAAAAAAAAAAAAATACCCCTTTGGCAATGTGGTTTTATTTGGGGAACAGCTGCAAGCTTTACACACACAAAAAATGCAGCAAGCTCAAGGCACCATCAGCTGCATCCACACTGGGAACTTTGTCAGTATAACTTCCCCCCCGCAACTTTTAATAGTGTAGCCCAAGTCTGCCTAGACACTGTCAAAGGCAGCATGCAGCTTCAGTAGGAATGGGAGGCTTTCTCCTTCTCAGTGAGTGTTTTTGTTGGTGGACTGGGGACCAGGAAGGTTGTGTTTTAAGGGTTTTGCTCACAAGAATTACTGTACGACTGAAAAAGTACTATAGTAGACTGAGCTGGTAAAGCACCCTTCACTGCGAGTGTAGTACTACAGGTAAAGCTGGGCCTCGTACCCATATGTCAAGGCATCAGCAGAAGTGCAAAAGGCTAGACCAGTCAAAAGCAGGACCGTGCAAGGGTATAACCACCTACATATCCTCTGCCAGTGGTTCTGCTCGTCAGAGCACAGCACTACTAACTGCTAGCAGAAACCCATCACACAGATATAACCAAAAAGTAAAGGCTTTGCTTTATTCTCAAACCCAATTGTAACTTCTGCATGGAAACAGTAAAGCCCTTCTATAAACACAGGGTATGGGAGGGAAGTCAGGAAAAAAAAAAACCAGCAAAAACTCCTATAACGCCACATGTTCTTAATCCAGAACAGTGTTTTTCTGCAACGCCACGCTCTTGGGAGGAAGGCACCAAGCAGGGTGTCTCCTGTGAGGCTTTGGCAGAGAAGAGGCTCCACAAGCCTTCCCCTGCCGACAGCAGCAAGGCTCTGTTTCTGTCGGTGAAAACAGCATGTTTCTGATGTGGTAACAACATGGGTTAAATTCCTAGCATGAACTGGGCCAGTTGTAGTTTTAACACGTTAACATGTTCTACCAGGGGAAAAGCTGAAGTATTTTTAGCATGGCCTGAGTGTTTGTCTCTGCACTGTTCTGGCCTTTTTTGGAATTTTTAACTCTGGAAACAAATACAATACCCTTTGCAATAGTGAAACACCACCTATTTTCTTTTATTGTTTGCTACAAAGAAGATTGCAAGTTGTACTTCCAAAGACATTAAAGGAGAAACATAAACCAAGTACTTTTGACACAGCTTTCCCCCTTCACAACACCAGACAGTTCACTTACTGTTTCCCTAATCCCTGTCCATGCACCCTAGCCTTTCCTACTTACATGCTTAGCTGTGAAGAAATCTCAGTAGAGAAAACATTTTTCTTCATTGTGAAATTCAGTCCCGAGTTGTTGCTTGAAGGCGTTGCCCCTTGTTCTCCTGTTTGAAACAGCTTTTGAGTGCAGTAAGAGGGGTCTATGAAATACACTTGCAAACTGCATCACATGCAACTGCCCTTTAGTCCTACCCCTCACACACCATTCCGTCTGATTTCCAAGATAAGCGGGGAGAAGTGCTGGACAACCGTATGTTTGGTTTTGTCACATTAAAAACGCACAGCTGCATTATCCCCTCCAACCATGCTGTGCTGGGGGCAGAGCCCAGCAAGTCAGAGTTAGGTATAAAGGAGGAGATGGAGCTGGATGGATGGAGATGGAGCACAAATGGAACAAGAATTCACACAAGGCAAGTCTGAGGACTGAAAGGGGAATCACATGGAGCAAAGGAGGGACTCTCCCCCTCTCCTATTTTCTATCCCATTTCAAATAATATCCCCTTCTTCCTCCGCTCTGCCTGGCACTAGCATAAGCATGCAACACAGCCGTAAGGAACAGATGTCTGACAGTCCACACTGCACACAGCTGCAGTCAGTGTGCCCAGCAATGTCCAGGCCACACACACAAGTCATCCAGGGAAACAAGACTTTTGAAAGGATTAATGGTGAGAGAGGCTCCTGTGGCTGCGAAAAGGAGACTGTGGTTGATCATCTGCTCCCAGCTGAAGGAAGAGGAGAACAAGCCTTTTGTTTGTCCCGGTTCTTCTCTTCCTCCTCTTCAAAGAATGCCGTTACCACTGCTTCTGGAGTGGGGTGGGGGAAAATGGGGTAGGGGGGCTGCACTTGGTGACTCGGATTCATCTCTCAGGCAGCAGGACGAAGAAGATAGCCTTGAGGAAGTGACCAAAGCTGCAAACAGCGGCCACAAGCCAGTGGGAGCGAAGGCTGGGGTCAGTATTCACCACGCATTTTGTGATGTCTGCCTAACAAGGAGGGAACAGAGATCATCAGAGAGAGATGCCCAGAACCACCGCTGCAGACTCTTCCAGCCCCACAACCTGCGGCACTGCGCCATTGCTGCTGCAGCACCACTTTACCACACCTTCAACAGCCACAAATGCTTGCTCTGACACTTCCACACATTGCAAGTTATTAAACCAGGCTCAAGAGCTCTGCAAAATACACTTTCTTCATTCTGCATCAACAAGGCAAAGTATCCCCCTTTTCAGCCACCCCTGGGGAAAGAAATGCTACAGGAAGATTGTCAACCATTTTCCATTTTGAACAGCTAAATAAAAGAAACTTTCTTCCCCTTTTCAAAAGAGCTAGGAAGCCTTGGCAATATCAGCATTCTCATCCTTTTCTGTAAAGCAAGATGCTTCCCAGAGGTTGTCCTGTTTAATATCGGCTCAAGTTGCTTGCACTTTTTCTCTTGCCTTAATGTTCTATTTGGAACTCATTCAAGCAAGCCAACCCTCAATTTAAATCTAAAGCAATACAAGCTTTGTTTGTGGAAATATGTATGCTGGCAGAGATGCCTCCCAGGCACGTGGGCCAGATTTAAAGATCGCTTGGGCAGCTGGTTTCAAGTATTAACAAGAATAGAAGCTGGCCTGCAATGAATAAAAAATAACAACAATCCAGCAAATTCATGAAGACAGGATCTCAGCTGACATTTGGAAGAGGAGGTGGAAAATATCTGGAGGGTGAAGTGAACAGGACAGAGGTAGATAGAAAATTGCATCTTCTTGTGGGGGAAACAAAGTTCTGCCAGCAATATAATTGAGTTTGCGGTTAAACTTCAGCCTAGCACAAGGAGATATGGCCTGTAGTTCTGTAACAGAGGGAGCACCATTAGCACATCAACCTGACACCGTTTTCAGAAACAGCTTTTGGGTGGCAATTGTGAACAAGAATCAGGTCACAAGGAGGGCAAATATTCATGAGCCCCAAAAGATTTTTCTTTGCAGGCTTAGCTCAGCAGTCTTCCAAGTTTGCCTTCTGACACACGTGTCTCATTGACCAAGCAGAGGGAAGTCAGACTCTAAATCCTAAGATGTTCCTCCCATAAAATGGGACACAAGAGCTTCTGAATACTCCAATAATCTTTTCCAGTATTTCCACCCGTGTTCAAGACATGGGTGAGCCTTGCCTGACCAACTTTAGTAATAATTAGAAGACAACAAAAGGGGGACTGAAGGGACAAATCCCTGTGTCCAGTTAGTAACTATAGCTGCACTAACCAACTCCACCGTCATCTACAGACCAAAGGTCTGTTGACAGCAGCCTCAACAGCCTCCCACATACTTCCAGCAGTTCCTCCCTGAATGGGGGGATAGGAAGGATGCAAGGATGGGAAGAAACAGGATGACAGGAGGAAGGTGAATAAACACATGGCATGCTCCTGAGGCTGACAACCAAGGTGTGGAAATGCTGCTGCCTACAGCTACAAAAGCGCAAGGAAATGTAGCAAGCAGCCAAGATAGCACATAACAGAAGACACTGCAATGTACTACTGGTGGTTATAGGTACTTTATCTGTATTGTGGAGGAAAGTAAAATGGGTCTGCTTAAATGCTTTCAGTGATGGCTTAGCAAACTCACCTTATTTGCATTTGAAAAAAGTCTGAACTAATTCAGCCTGTCCAATTTTAGGGACTGTCACTGTGTCATATTTAAAACACAAGTCAAGAGAAGTCATGATGTGCAGGTACCTGTCTGAACATGTATTCAGATGTTAGGTTTCTTATTGATCAGCTACCCTAAGCTCTGAAGGGCTTTAGTGCCTCACGTGAACCAGTACAAGGCCCAAATATGCACACCAGGTTGATTATAGCTGCAGAGGGTTAACTTCCAGATGAGTGTGAACTCTTTAAAGCTGTGCTATGTCCTACCAAAGGCAATGACCTCACTGCAGCTAATCAAGAGGAGCTGCAGTCAGAAGCACTTACAAATTTCTATGGTGCTTGCTTAGATAAACAAAATTGCTCAGCTGTTTAACAGTTGCCTTAGCTATTGTTATCCATAAAGCATACTTGATAAGGCACTGGAATTGAAAATTTCAAAGCTACTTAACAAAACAGGTCTTTGAGTCTTGTGAGGCACTGATAAACCCTTGCAATAGCAGCTTGATCTTTGCCTGTTAATCACTCAAGTTCAAGTCACATGCTCTTCTTCATAGCAAATATATGTAAAAGCTGCTAAAAAAAAAAAAAACCCCACAACTTTCTATTCTACTGTAAAGCCCCTACTGAGGCTGCAAACTCTCCCCAGGGAGAGATGATGCCTCAAAGGGTTAAACATTTCTTGTTTCTCCTAAGAGGTTTGTTTTGGGTTGGGCTTTGGGGTGTAGGGTCTTTCTCCACCCTATGGAAGCAGTATGGGAACCTACTGCTGAGTGGACACTTTCAAATGCCTTTCCAAGGTCTCCACAGTGGCTTTTCTGAAATAGCTCAGAGCACGGTGGTTCCTCTTGGCAGCTTCAACCTGAGCCGATGCATAAGAGACAGGGGCCATGTGCACAGGGAAAACAAGGACTCCATGCCAAGACAAACTAACAACCAGCTAGGTCAGGCACCAGATGAAAGGGTCCCCACTACAGAGCTGTTTCATCTGGCCCGTTTGTGAACAAGGCTGGGAAATGCCACACTGCAGTGCCTAGATCAGGAGGAAGAACATTCAGGGAAGCACAGCACAAGATGGCAAGAGGATTAGCAGCCTTTCCCCACACTGAAGGAACCACTCATTTCTAGAGGGAAAATATCTCCTTGTTGCAGCCCAAAAATGCTGATAAAGGTACTGGAGACAGGCTGTAATCAGCACAACCCAGCAACTTTTACAGTCGCTTTGTTTGACCGGGGGCAGTGAGATTGGCTTCCTTTTCTGAGGGCCAGACCCCAAGAGCAAGCAGCATAGGTTCAGCAACTCCAATAGAAATGTGCTGGCCATCCAAAGAGGGATGATTGGTAGAAGGAGCTAGCAGTGGACAGGACTTATCTCCTCAGCTGCAAAGAACCACTTTTGGTCTGGGGATGGGTTTTGCGTTTTGTTCGCTATGCAAAAAACTTTCAAAAATATCCATTTGGAACTATCAAAACACCCTGTTTTGAACTCTAATAATGTAATACAAAAATTAAAACAGGATGCTAACTTATCAGGACATGCATGCTTCACCAAAACAAAGAAAAAAATTAGTTGGAAACCAGGAGGAGACAAGTTCCTATGCAACATTTCAATTTTAATGAAACTGGATTTTTTCCAAAGGAAAAATTGTTTCAGAGAACACACTTCAATCAGCTCTACAGGTACCCAGTTAAAGTAAGCCTCAAATGATACTGAGGCAGGGATTTCACAGGCAGGAACAGTGCTACTTAATCAATTGCTTTCCCAGGATATCCTCTTCACCTACCTTGGCACAATTATTTGTGTGGATGCAAAATGAAACAGATCAGGGCATTCAAATCAAAGGTTACTTTTTGGCCCAATCAAACAGTTCCCTGACTCAGCTGGCCTCAAGGTCACACAGTTTTAGAGAGGGCAGAGATGATTTAAGGTGGCAATGACACTTAAGTAAATGCAAGGGATCCAAAATCAGAACAGCGCTACTTTTCCAGTTGCCCTTCATCAAAAAAGTGCCTTCACTCCTGGAGAAACTAGGTGACTGAATCAGCTACAGGCACACGTGGGAAGTCTCAGCACAGAGGAGCAATGCTCAGTTTGGAAAAAGACATCCCCCTCTCTCTGGGTCTGTGTGGGGTGGGGAGCCTGACTGTTCCTGACGGCTCAGGAATAAATATCACCTCTTGGAAAGGAGGGAATTTGCCACAGTGGCTCAGTCTGGAAAGAGCGCATGCCATGGGAACAAGATGTCCCACGAGCTCAGTGGTGTCATATGGCAATATTTAGCTCCAGGCAGCATCTGCCAGGCAGTACACCAAAGTGCTTTTGGCTGTATCACTCCAAGCAGTGTCTATATCCTGCCAGCAAGGCACTGAGACCCCTGCACATAGATGGATCATCCAGGTGCCAACCGCTAACATAGCCAACCAGTCATCTCAGTCTCCTGGGGAGGTCACTAGGAAGGTGTCTGGCTATTCCACAGCACCAAAGTAAAGCTCTTACTCTAAACCATCCTCCACAGGAGCATTGTATTTCCCGTTGTGTATAAAGATAACCAACAAAATCAGATGCTTAAAGCCATATGAGATGGAGCCACACTCCAACGCAGAGCAGCACTGTGCCTTATCCAGAGTCTCGGAGCAGGCCAGTGACAGAGCCATGAACCCTCCCACTGTCAATGGGTGTTGAGTGCCCTTCAGAGCATAAGTGCACTACAATTTGAGCTACATCAGAAGAAGCATTGTCAGGGTCAGGTCAGGGAATGGCACAAACTACTAGGTTTTAATATCCCTCTAAAATTCCTTATGGTGGCAAGTCATGTTAATATACTAAGCTTTGACTTGGGGAACTGTGGGTGGGGCAGGTGAAAGGGGAATTAACTTGGCAGGCCTCATTTTTTTCAGTTTCTAGAAAACAGCTGCCCAAGAGAATGACCCCTGTTTACAGTCTCCCGCTATGACTGGCTGGCAGCTCCAGAGATATTCAGGTCAGGAACAGAAAAGGTCCTGGTGGGTCAGGATTGAATTAGTCTGGCACACCTACGCAGGAAGCTGAGGACCAGAACAGCTGATATGGTCGAGGACGGGACCATGAGGCAGTAACAGAGCTATATGGAGTCTAGCACAGGTGTAAGTAGGACAATGGTGGCCACAGGGCTGTGGAAGAGAATCTCATTCAACGTTTTTCTGCATAAAGCTGCAGTGGGGGCACTCTCACTTTCATTAAATGGGATATTTTCTGGTCTGCATGTGTGGAAGCAAGCTTGATCAGATAGCACCTCTTACCCAGCCTCCTCTCCTTTTCAGCCATGTCACCAAGGTCTTGCGGACAAACTCTCCCAGGCAGTCTACGATGGTGTGAACCATGGCTGGCTGTGCATGCCGCACGCAGTCCACTGCCAGCCCAGCTGCCACAGCATAGAGAGACACCACCTTGCCCCACGTTATGCCTATGAAAAGAAGAAAAGTCATTCAGATTTACACACACACAAAGTTCAGTCTTGAATATTCAAGGGAAACAGCTCTCCTTCATTACATGTGCCCACACTGCATGCGTGCAGCTGAGTTCAGGTACAGCCACAGTTTTGCATGCTCTCTACCATGGAGGAAAGGAAATATGAGGGGACCAGGATTGGGGAAAACACTTCACCTGGAGGAGCAGAATTAAATGATCTGACCTGGGCATGCTTTGACCCCCCCCTCTTAGCACTGGGTGCACAGCTTTGGAGAAAGCAGCCCAAAGGCATCATGAAAATAGGGAAGATGTGCACCACCATTATTTATATTGCCATTAACTCTCAGCCATGCACATGCTGCACAGGAGGCAACTGAATTCAAAGAGTTTGAGCAACATGGGGCTTTTGTTGCCAGTGCAACACTTAGCACTCTTTAGACAAAGTGTTCCTGTTTTTTTCCAGATCAGAGGAGACTGTTCCAATGTGGCACGCAAAGCACACGTGAGATAAGCATCTTCAGTCAGTTCTACTATGACACAAGAGCAGAAAAGGGAGGCAAAGCTACAGGGCCAAGAGTGTTGGCGTCCTCCGTGTAAGGCGTATGCCTCAGTTCCCGCCTGAAAACCAGGTAGCTTCAAGAATTTGGCCACTCTGCCTACAATACTTAACATTGCATATCCTATCCCACTGAAGGCAGTGCAGGGACAGAGTGTCAGTCAGTTATCTAATCTCCCAGAAAACAGCCTTCCTGCTAGGCTGACCTGCCAGCAGCAAATGCTCCATGGGAGTTGTCCCAGCAGCAGTCATCTTCCTGTTAGTGTTAGCGATAAGCACTCGAGCTCAGTTCTGGGTACTGGCCAACCTCCCTGGGTCTCCCCCACACTTTGCCAACACCACTGGGCATAAATCCTCCATGCTTAAACATTGCAGCCAGCAGTCCCTCATCAGGCTTTTATCAGGACTGGTGACCTGGAAACACAACCCTTCTGCACCCATGCAGAAGAACTACCACAGCACAACGGCATATGGACTTCCTTTGGATCTGCTAGGAAGTTTAATTCTCCCCCTTACTTTATTATCTGGAATAGCAGTATTTGACAAGCATACTGTGAAGTATTTTACAGTGTTAGGTCTCTATGGAGTCTGTGCAAGGTCTCTCCCAAATGCAGCCAGAAGCCAGGTGAAGTTTCAGTATTTAAAAAACACACAAAAATTGTTCTTGCTGGGGTGCAACAAGAAAGAAAACAGGTGAAAGGAAGGAAAGATTAGTTCAAGTCACAAGATCGAAGGACCAGAAGTGGTTAAACACATGATCGGGAAACTGGATGTGCTCAGCAATCTATCAGCTAAGAAAGCAAACCCTTAAATACCATTGAAATGAAGAGTCTCCCTCTTTCCCGCATCAAAACCCTGGGACCCCCAAGCACCCCGGCCCATCTCTCCGGGATGGAGCTCCAGACTCCTCATGCCTGTTCACACCACAGCAGAGTTCCCCACATTCCTTTACAATACATGCAGGTTTCAGAGCATTTCCACAATCCTTCCACTTAGTGCCTCAAAAGGGACACTCACACTAACACTTTTGGGAATTGCTTTTTTTTTTTTTCTTTTTTAATAAAAAGAGTATTAAACTTTAGAGAAGTTGTTCAAATGTCAGCCACAGGAATGGCTTGTTAGACTGAAGAAAATCCATTCAGTGTTCCAAAAAAGCCATTTCTCACTCATGACTGATATGAGATCAAAATCTACAGATGATGCTTTTGTGAGGCTCTGCAGCAACAGTAACAGCAGTAGCTCAGAGTCTCCTGTGATACTCTGTCCTTCACCAGCACTATCTCCAAGATCAGAGGAAGTTATTAATTGTCGTGGTTTAGC